ACCGTAAGGCCCCTTGGGGACCGAGTTGACGGTATGGTGACGGGACGTCGGTGACGCCGTAAGGGTGGTCCTGTATAACCTCGGCTATCCTGGGATTTGATCCGGAGATCGTCGATCCGTCCGGTATCGGACCCCCTGGGCGCCGGTTGCTAGGGCCCAGCGGCTGCTGGTGGTCAGCCAACACAGCCAGGCCAGCACTCAGGCGGGCCTGCACTGCCGGCCGGTGCTTGGCACCGCTGCCCGCCCCAGCCCAGTCGCCGGAGCCCGACTTTGGCCCAGGTCACACCGTGTGGCCTAGCCGGCCGTACCGTCACCGTATCCGGCGTGACGGCACCATCCCGTACCATAAGCGCCTTGAACTCGAGGGCTTACGGTACGGCATGGGGCCGTCCCGGCGCTGTCAGAGGCCGTACCGTACATGGCTCTACAGCCCTACAAACTCCCCCGACATCCATCCTCAGGGTCGACATGCTGACACTAACGGACAAACAACTAGCATCCACCAAGGATGACTGCAGCAACCTGACTGAGTGATACACAGCCACGCACTCCTGATCACGCTCTGCGGTTCGTGTGCTCAACGTCCAACGTGGGAACATTGCGTAACTAGTCCCAGGGTTAACACTCCAGGCCCTTGCCAATATGGCAGGGCTGACCAGCCCCCTAGAAAAGGTGGGTGTTCCATGCTCGCCGTAAGTCACACAAGGTGGTAGAGGTTGCGTAGAGGTGTTGAATGGATCGCCAAGACATCTTGGTACTGTGGGGGCGATGATCAAACATGATTGATGCATGTAGATCGCAGGCGAAGCTTGCGTTTAGTCGATGGAAGGCTACCATATAGGCATCGGGCCATGGCAATAGCTCACTCGGTGCCACCGGTAAGGCGCCGAAGGTGTCCCACACCCGCCCACGCCACACCCACACCATCACAGGCATGCACGCCTGTTGGCGCAGGCCCACGCCATTTGGCCACGCCCATGTGCGAAGTCTCTTCTGAATGCGAACTAAACCAGGTTGAACCTGAATGCCAAGTTTGATTCAAAGTTCAAGCTGGGGCCAAACCTGAACCGAAGTTCAGGTTTGGTGTTTGCGAACAAAGGACTTGAACTTGAACTGAACTGAACTGAACTTTGCTATCTCCATTAGGTGACTTTTCTTTCAGAAGTACAGTCTTCAGTCAATACATTCAACAACTGGACTAAATTTTGAGCTGAGTAAGAGTGAGTTGAATACTAGATTATAGTATATTCAGAGACCCTTCCAGCCATACCAGAACCATTCTGGAAGCTCAAAAAATGACTGAGATAAACTCTTCTGACAAGCCCAAGTGAGATTTTTGGCCAGGTAAAAGTGAGCTGAATGCTAGATTCAGAGGCCTTTAGGATACAGCCCTAATACTGTTTTGAAGTTATAGAGTAATAGCCTATAAGTTGCACTAACAAAAGTCAATAGATTTGTAGTCAATAAAAGTGAGTTCAATGCCAAGTTAAAACCTCTCTAATGATATATAATTGATATCAAAATAATAAAGCGGAAATCTTAACAGAGTTCATAGATTGAATACTTATTTAGCAGTTAGTAGCTGCCATAAGTGGTATTGACAAAAGTCAATAGATTTGTGGTCAGTGAAAGTGAGTTGAAACCTTGACAGAGTTGATTATCATTAGAAATTGAATACTCACTCAGCAGTGAAGGAGTATTTTGTAGTCAAAGTTTGGTATACAATCAAAGACCAGTTTGTAGGCCTATTGGACATTTGTGCATATATATGACAGATTCCAAATGGTCATTAGAGGTACAAGCCCAATACTGTTTTGAACCTAGTCATTGACTGTTATAAAAGTCAGTTAGTCTTGCCTTTCAATACCTTTCTGACCATATAGGAACCTCAGTAATGAGCCTAATACTGCTTTGAAGTCATTTGATTGAAATTCTGTGAATGTATAGTTGAAAGCAAGTTTTAAACTCTTGTGAAGAAGACCTTTATGGTCAAACTAGAAATAAGCTCAACTGCCACAGTATTCTGTAGTAAAAGTTGATAGATGTGTAGTCATGTTGTGTAATCAAGTTTGTAGAACTTTCTCATACCTCTCTGACCATATCAGAATCACTATCAACAAGTCAAAGCTCATTGAAATATAAGCCTTACTGTTTTGAACCTCGCCCCAAAAGACACCTATGATCTTCTACATTTTGTAATCTACCACTTTCATTATAGAATTCTGTCAACTTCCGGGGTAAGTTCAACTGAGAGTTAGCCAAGTTACACTGTTAGGCTAGTTTCAGAGATTGTCAGGTACCAACACATCTCAAAGTAGAGATTTTCAGTACCTTTTCAATGATCTATAAATTATCCCAAATGAATCAGAATTGACTGAGTTATGTTAGTAACAGGAAAAAAATTCAAATCTGGACTGGCAGTTGCCTTATTGGCTCTTATGCTTCAGTCCCATGTGATAGAGAATTTGAATAGCTTTCTAATGGTATATAAATCATTCCAAACGGATAAGAATTGGCTAAGTTATAACCCTAACACTGTTTGAAAGTGGAATTCCGCGGATTTCCATCTTAAGTGAAGTTCAACTTAAGGGTTGAACTGGCCCTAAAGTCGGATTTCCGCGGACTTCCACTCAAAAGACACTCGTAATTTTTCACTTTTCTGTGTTTTCTAGCTTAACCATTAACAATTGGGCTTAGCTCCAAACTGAACCAAGTCATAAAATTTGAATATCTACAACTTTCATTAATTGACCCCCGACCCTAAAGTGGAAATCCGCGGATTTCCACCTGGCAGTTAGGTTAAAGTCAAGTTTAACTTAGGGATTGAACTACAGTGGAATTCCGCGGACCTCCACCTTAAAAGACACTCGTGATTTTTTACATTTCTGTGTTTTCTGGCCTAACCATTGACTATTAGGCTTAGGTCAAAACTGAACCTAGTCATTAATTTTGAATATCTACAACTTTCATCAATTGAGCCGGCCCTAAAGTGGAGTCCGCGGATTTCCACCTTAAAAGACACTCGTAATTTTTCACCTTTCTGCATTTTGTGAGCCAACTAGTAACAATTAAGCTTAGGTCAAAACTGAACCTAGTGTTTAATTTGTAACATCTATCACCTCACAAAGCGGGCAGTTATTCTGAAGGCTGGCAGTTAATTACTTCCAAGTATGAACAATCAGGCTTAGGGCCCAGTGGTCAATCTGAACTTGGCAAAGTTGCCGGCCCTAAAGTCCTGGCAGTTAAGTTCAACTAATTATTGAGTCTTTAGGGCCAGTCTTATATATTTTCTATACTAAGTCATTTATAAGGCTGGCCCTCAAGACTTTAGGGCCAGTCTTTATATTTTTTTATATATAAGTTATTTATAGGGCTGGCCCTAAAGTGTGGGAAAAAAAGAAAAAAAAATACCCATAGTACAGAAAGAGAAGCCAACATGAGTTGTGAATGCAGGAAGAGTACAATCCCCCAGATGATCCACTTTGTAAGAAGACTTTTGTTATTCTGAACTGTTTTTAGCAGTTTTACTGAGTTGCCAATCAGGTGTAGTGGCTGAATGGGAGGTCACTACTCTCCCATCAGCTTAGTGGCAGTCTTAAGGAAGACTGCCAGACCAAAGATAAAATGCCACAACAAGACAGCTACTAGCAAACCACTGACGAACACACCATGACCAAGAGATTGAGCTCAGCTCGGAAGGTGTTGAACCAACCTCGCTACCCCTTGGCTTACCACAGCACATCCTATCTCCGCCAATTTAATGAAGCACAGACCAGACTGATCCACTTTCACTGTCTTCCCCCAGAACCCACAACAGGAAGAGCAGGGTCATTGAAGCCAGGCTGCTCTTCCATATATAAGGCAGGCCCACCCCTCAGCCCACCCCAAGTCCAAATTGCGCAAAAGCGTGAAAACCCATGTCCACAATTTCGCACTTTGGACTCCGCGGAAAACTCCGCAGTCATGTGGTTGAGGTCACATTTTATTGAAGTAACAATCACAACATCAATCACCACATCAACAACAACTCTTACGACGCTTACGAGGACCTTCCAGTCGGCCCGCTAGTTGCCGATGCCGATTGATCAAGACGTAAAGCTGTCAGCACGCCATGACATTGCGCTGATCTCTGGACGCATCAACTCTGCGGCCCAGTTCCTGCGGCGCACGGAGCCTCTCGTCCGCGCTCTGCCGCTGAAACCAAACCCAATGCTGGACGCAATGCTGGAATGCGGCCTCATTACTTTGCTGAGCAACACTGTCATGTATACCTACTCCACCGTCGAGCTCAGGCTGCCGCCAAATCAGGAGCAACCATGCAGCGCTGCACAGCTGTTTGGCTCTGATGTAGCGGCACAGGAGGTTCTGCGCCGTGTGGCGTACAGCGCGGGGGTGATCTCTCTGGACGTGGCAGAGTTCTGGTCCGGCCTCGCGCCGTCATATGCGCTGATGCTCCGGCGCGAAATGCACACGCGGCGCACGGTTTCCATTAAGGTGGTGTCTCGTTTTCTTAACATCTTGTAGCTCAAAAATATATAATATCAGTTCTGGAGGACTGGAATGCTCTAGTAGCATACCGTCGAAGTCTACATAACCTATAGGATTCAGTGGTCCACCAACTATGTTCTATGGTAGAAAACCCACATTCCCTCATAATACATAAGATTTTGTCGGGTTATAAGTTGCCCCAGATGTGAACGGAATGCGCGCAGGCTCCCACCTGGGTTCTGTACATCGCAGTCAAACTTATCGATTAGTACAGACAGTAAAGGTTTCTGCTTTCATCGAGTTCCGTCTCTGTCCCTCTAATTCGCAATCCTCGTCCTCTGCAACCGGTCCGACAGCTCGTCCATCGCGCGCTTCACCGCACCGAAGCGCGACACCACACTGCTCGCTGTCGACATGCGCCCACAGCGCTGAGCGTCTGGAAGCGGCGGCTGCACCCCGGCCCGCGGCAGATGTACGTCTGCTCCTCGTGGCGCGGGCTCGCGAGGTGCTGATTAAGCCCGGGCAGCGTGCGGAACTTGCCGTGGCAGAGGTAGCACTCGTACGCGGTGCCGTTCCAGCTGCGCCCGGTCGCGACGTAGCGTGTTGTCGCTCTCCGCCGCGGCGATCAGGCGCGGGGGTCGGGTGATCACGTTGCGCGTGTCCTGCGCGGATGTAGCGGTTGAGCGACTGCCGGTTCGCGCCCGACGCGCAGCTGCCCGCCTCGAGATGCGCGGCGAGGCGACGGGCCGTTGATGAAGGACTGCCCGCAGCCGCGGCCGGGGCACGTGATCGTGCGTGGCTTGTGCAGCGCCGAGTTCATATGCGCGTTGAGGTTGTTTGCGGAGGTGAACAGCCGGCGGCAGGGGGTGCAGTAGTGGTGCACGCTCGACTGGCGGCAGTGCTCGTGCAGCCCCTGCTCGTTCTTGAACACCCGCTCACACGAAGAGCAGTAGAAATGTGCGTCGTCCATGTGTTCCGCCAGCTCGCCGCCATCGTCGAAATGCTCGTCGCAGTGCTGGCAGTAGAAGTGTCTGCGGCTCTGGACGTAGTGCTCCTTCAGCCCCGTCCACGTCGTGTAGTCGATCTAGTGATCGTCACGGGTGGCGTGACCCGTGACGGGCCGTGAGGACGGGCCTGCGCGGGTACGGGTGCGGGCCTGATGCCCCAAACCCGCTGGCCCTCGTCCTGGCCCGCCGGGCCCGGCCAGCCCGGCCAGCCCGATAGCCGGCGGGGGGTAGCCGGCTCTGGCCAAGCTCCGACGCCTCGAAACCATCAGCAACTGTAACCGACTTGGCTCGGATGGCCACGGCTGGGGGTCGAAACCCGCAACAGCACTAGCCGACATCGTTCAGGTGGCCTCGGCATGGCCTTGGCGTGGCTGCTGTAGCCGGTGGGCCACTGAAACGCGGGCCACCCGCGGCCCGTTAGCCAAAACGCGGGTACCCGCACCCGCCGAAGCGGGCCCGGGCCATCGGCGGGAACGGGTACGGGCCACCCCGGATTTACCCGCGGGTGGCCCGTGACGAACACTAATAGTGATCGTCACGGGTGGCGTGACCCGTGACGGGCCGTGAGGACGGGCCTGCGCGGGTACGGGTGCGGGCCTGATGCCCCAAACCCGCTGGCCCTCGTCCTGGCCCGCCGGGCCCGGCCAGCCCGGCCAGCCCGATAGCCGGGCGGGGGTAGCCGGCTCTGGCCAAGCTCCGACGCCTCGAAACCATCAGCAACTGTAACCGACTTGGCTCGGATGGCCACGGCTGGGGGTCGAAACCCGCAACAGCACTAGCCGACATCGTTCAGGTGGCCTCGGCATGGCCTTGGCGTGGCTGCTGTAGCCGGTGGGCCACTGAAACGCGGGGCCACCCGCGGCCCGTTAGCCAAAACGCGGGTACCCGCACCCGCCGAAGCGGGCCCGGGCCATCGGCGGGAACGGGTACGGGCCACCCCGGATTTACCCGCGGGTGGCCCGTGACGAACACTAAGTCGATCTCGCAGTCGTCGCAGAGCCAGTGTGCGCTCGACGCCCGCTCGTGCTGCGCGAGGGCACCGTAGTGAGGGAAGTAGCGGTCGCAGCGGTCGCAATACACCGTCATAACGCTAATGTTCTTTGTAAGTACGGTCACGTACGGGCCCGCACGCAGAGAAGCGCACCCTTGTCCCAGAAATTAAACTCGGATCTTCGGTGGTGGTGGTACGACGACATGAGTGTCACGCGCACGTGAGGAACGTCACGGTGTTTTGAATCGAGGCTGATGTCGTTACCTGCGTAACCGATATGCTTTAGAGCGGAAATGCGCTGCGAAAGGGGCCACGCGCCTTTGTTCCAAGCACTTATGCTACTGCCGAATGTTCTAGCAACAAGTTCTATAGCCAATGACCAATGTCCGGGGCAAACCTCGCTTGCTCAGCGTCGGCCTGTTCGAAACCGATGCATGGCCCCGCGCATTCAACGTGTCCTGGGCATCTCCCTAGATATATACATACTTATAGGTGAGCATGATCGAGTCCCGTGGAACAGGGTAAAGAGCATATAAAGAGGCATCGAGCGCAATCCGGAGGGACAAACAGACCCGCAGGGCTGGTCCCAAGCGGCACCCGCGTTTTTGGGAAGTGACAGACTTTACAGTGCTGTACAAGGTTGCGAATACCACCGGACTCGGAATACGGGTCAGCCATACTAGTAGATTTTTCATACTTGGCGTCGTTCCTCCAGAATCAGCGTCGGCACTTGCGCGAATCGTCATTCGCAGCCCCGGAAACATCGCAGACGAGCTCCCCGCCTTCAACAAGCCACCATCGCACGTCAACCCCTGCCCAAAGCGCACTTCCGCCGTCGCCATGTCCCCCACGACGAAGTCGAGTCGGCGATGAAATGGCGTCCGGCGGGAGCCCTACACTCGTCGATACGGGTCCAAACAAATTGAGCGTGTCATATAGGTCATGTAGCAGACGGAGGTACGGTCGAAAGAGGCCCAAGGTAAACGGGTGAAAAGCAGGAGCTGCATAGCGCTTTGTGTGACCACGACTCGGAGGGAAAGTCGAGTGTGGCGTTCGCGGAGAGTAACGCGCATTTTCGTGAGATGCTCGTGAATGAGGGGTATGCCGGAGCGTTATTCGAGGACCGACGGATGGAGGGGAATGACCAGAGGATTGGGAGCGCAGTTAGCCCTTTTGCCGCCGGTCGTCGCGACGAAGGTGGTGAGCATTATCATCCGGGACTCTGAAGACAGCCCATAAGGCCTTTGAGCACTCCAAGGCACCACCAGCGCTCGTCAAATTCGGCCCAAAGCCCACTTCCAAATCCACCATGTCCCCCACGACGAAGTCAAGACGCAGATGAAATGGCGCTCAGCGAGAGCCTTGTATCAGGTCCGAAAGAATTAAGCGTGTCATATCGGCCGGGTATTGGAAGGAGGTAGGGTCGATAGAGGGCGAAGACCAAAGGGCGAAGAGCTGCATATCGCTTTCGCGGAGAGTGACGTCGTCACGTGTGACAGTGGCTGTGTCGAAATTTTTCGAGGAAAGAAAGTCGTTCGGATGGCGCGTTGGTGGAGAATGTCACATTGTGTAGTTGATTAAGAGCTTTGAAGGAGTCTATGGTAGACGGAGGTGCATATGGCGGGCGGTTAGTCGAAGGCAATGGTGCTCGTTTTTCAAGTTTATCGAGAAGCAGGTCGCTTGAGAGTTTCTGGGACAGAGAGGCGGGGTTGTCGGCGGTTTTTTCCCCTACATGAAGAGTGTCACCATGAGGAGTGAGCTAGAACAGCAAACGCACCATTATCCGCCGCCTCTGTTTGTTCCTTCGGTTTTTTCTTTCTTAGAGGTTCCGAAATCCACTGAGTCGGCAGAGTATATTAGAAGAAGAGGACACGGGAAGTCGCGCTTGTTGGCGAGGATATGCGGAAGTCGCTGCAGCTGAATTCCAAACGATAGGTGTACTAGACGAAAAGCCAGATTTGTCAGACCGACTCGAAAAGAGGCTTGCTTGGACGCACCCGGTTTTCCTTCCGTGTCACGCTAATCTTTTAAAGAGCCCTCAACCTCCTTTTGAATCGAAGGCGTTCCCTCGATGGAAGAGCCCCGCTAGCGGGAAGTGATTGCTTTCGGGGAGTCGAGAGGGAGTAACCAGGATGGCGAAAGAGGATTATTGCATCGGTTCTCATTGAAGGAGTGGGGGAACGGATGCATCTGGGCATGCCCAGCTGAGAATTGAAGGGGCTTGACCCGCTGAGACCGTCGCGTTGGCTCGAGATGGAGTCGCGGAAAAGCGGGGAAAGCATGGGGGGGGCCGAGCCCAGCTGATAGCTACGGGGGAAGAGTGAGACGGACATGACGCAAGAAGAGCATGAAAAAACACACCCGTCATCCCTCTTCTTTGCCAGCGCGCAGTCCGCCCACCTCTTCACCTGCAGCCCCACCTGAGCGTCTGGCTCCCAGCGCTGCACAAGAAGAAGGGCCCTCTGAGCAGGTTCTTGCTCCCACTACCCGCTGCCCGCTTTCCTGCTTGCGCGGTCAATGACGTCGGCGATGCCGCTCGGCCCGCTCCAGCGCTACAACGAAGAAGCATCCACTCGGCCCACATCTACGCTCCGCCCCAGCATCATCTCCCCTCCTCGTCGGTGCATGCGCGCGTTGTGGTGAAGGAGCAAAACTTCATCATCATGAGGCTGTGTGGGAACCCGCCCGGCCCTCGGCGCCGCATGCCGGATTTTTGTCAGCGTGCTTCTTTTTTATCAACCACCACATGCTCACCGCTGGAACCCCGTCTCCCGTGCCTTGCTGCTCAGGCGCGTCATCAACTCTTTGACTGGGGGCATCCTGCAGCTCCCCTGGCCATTTCTCGCCCGGTGGATCGCCATCCGCTGTCAAAATCCTCAAGACCATGTACCGCTGTTGTCGCCAGTCTCACGGACGACTCCAAAGCCGTCCTTCGCGCGAACTGAGGCCCTCCTGCCGAGTTGCTTTCGTTTCTGCTGCCCTCTTCGCGGCCCCGGACGCCCGCGGCTTACTCCGAGTCAAAACTCCTCAACGCACAGCAAGGAAGACTCTGGGCGAAACAACGCGGGAGTTGTGGGGCCAAACTTCACGAAAACGCGCCATCGGGGCGGTCGACTGGCGCGAAACCCGCTACGCGCGAGCTGGGCCACTCCCTCTTCGTTGCGGTCGACTTTTGCGGCGATCTCCCCGCTCCGGGCCAGCGCAAGGCGCGACTATGGCCGACTCTTGGCCGCTTCGCCCAGAAATCGCCCCGGACCGCGTTCTCAACGTCCAGGGAGACTCTAGAGGCTGGATATATCTGTCTCGGCGCGTCTCCACGGTCTGCCACAGTCCATGGAGGCCGTCGTCGCTGTTGTCCGCGTTGAGCGCAAGGTCGGTGAGCGCCGAGCGCATTCGTCGCTCGTTCTGTCTGAAATCTTCATCGCAGGTAGCGCCAATCCAGTCCTCGTCTTCCTGAAGTTTTCAGGCCTAGGGCGAATAGCGAAGCGGGTGGGTCTGCGCGGAGCGGGTTCTGTTGCGCGAAACCCGAGGACGGCGGGCCGAGTTCTTGCTCGTGACGTCTGATACCAACAGGGTGGGGAGCACCAATATATCCTCCGTCCTCTCGAAACTCCAGGCGGAACGGGCCAGCGCCTGGCCCGGCCGGGGTTTTCCGAAGGCAGCCGCGTCCCGGCCCGCCTCGCGCGCGTTTAGTCTAGGAAGGAAGCCGCGGGCAGCGGCGCTAGGTGCGCCCATCTCCAACGAATCCCAAGCCAGACGACCCAGTTGTCGTGCTGCATCGCGCCGTCTCGTCTAGGTCGGTAACTCAGTCTTCTGCTGAATTCAAAGGCTGAATTCAAACAACTATAAGTGACTTTGACTCCAAAGCCATCCTTGGCGCGAACTGGGGCCCATCCTGCCCACTCCCCTTCCCTTTCGTCTCTCCTGCCTTCATCGCGGCCCCGGATGACCACGGCTTGCTCAAACTCTGGACGAAGAAGTTGCACCTACAACTCGGGAGTTCGGGGGCCAAATTTCACAAAAGCGCACCGTATCAGGGCGGTCTACTGGCGCGAAACTCGCGACGCGCAAGGCACGCCACTCATTCTTCACGGCCACAGCTGTCTCGGCGTCTCCTCAGTCGATGGAGGCCATCGTCGCTGCTGTGCGCGAGATCGGTGAGCGCCAAGCACATTTGCTACTCGTTAGGGTTAGGTTAGCGCCATTCTGGCCCTCCTGTTCCTGAAATTTACAAGGGGAACGGGGCAGCGGCTCGCTCGGCGCGGAGCGAACTCTGTCGCGCGAAACTCGAGGGTGGTGGGTCCAGTTCTCGTTCGTTCCGCCTGATACACACAGGGCGGGGAGGAC